CCGCGCCGCGCAGCTACGCCCCACCACCGCCGCCCCGCCCCGCCGCGCCCCGCCAGCCTCTCGCCGCCGTGGCCGTGCCGCCGTGCCGGCCGTGCCCCCCTGTACCGCGAACAAGTTCCGTTGGATTGCGACCTGCAGGCGAAGCGCGAAGCCGGCGAAGCGGCAGGAGGACGCTGCATAGGACAAACGCAGACGCAGAGCGCAGGCAGCAGCCGAGCCGTTCAGGAGTCGCTCCGTCGCTCCGTCTCCGTCGCACTCATGGGGCTCTCCGAAAAGGTGCGAGGGAGACAGAGCGACGAACCGCTCTTATGAATGGCTCGGCAGCGGCCGCGTCGGGAACGGCGAGTGTGCGCGTCGCTCAATTATTTCGGGAGTAGGTAATAAGCTTACTTGCCTCTTACTTACCTCCACAACTCACCCGTCTACTCACCTGAGGCCCACTTACCTCCACACGCACGACTAGAACGTCACGTCGCTCATTGAAAACAATATGTAAGTGCTCGCCGTGCCGTGCTTACCTTTCGGACGGCCGTGTCAAATCTCGCATCACCATGAACACGATCCTGTTTTACAGCGGTGCTCGGGTTGCCGCTGCATTTCCCAGTGTGTCATCATCGGCGGCCTCGTGGCATCGCTGGCTACGCTGGCGTCGCGTCGGCGGGAGCTCGAGTCCAAAAACCATACCGCCATTGGCGCGGTGCCGGCCGGCAGTGCCGCTGGATGGATGGCCGGGTCGCGAAGCCGATCAACTTTATTTTCCGCACCAAAGAGAAATTTCACTTGGCACTGCAGGCCGCGGGGCTGGGCGGCCGGACGGCTGATTTATTCCCATCAATCATCTGATCGGCGAGACCGGAGGCCGTCGGCCACCTCGTCGTCTAGCCTCACCTCGCCCTGCTGCCGCCGCTGCCGCCACTGCCCAAGGCCCAGCCCCGGGCGGGGCGCGGGGCGACGGCGAGATGCTATCAGTCAGGGCGGTGGCGGTGGGCCCGGCCGGGCTGCCGGCCGGGCTGCCTGCCTGGCTCATTCGGTATGCTCGCAGCGGTCCGGGGAGATGGATCGGCGGCGTTCGACGGCCACCCCGGCCGGGCCGTGTCAGCCGTGTCCGGGGCGCGGCGTTCCGGAGGCGGCCGCGCGGACCGAGGACCCGAGGACCAGGACGCCCAGGACGGAGGACCACTCGACTGCTTTATTTGCCACTGTCCGTCCGGCAAGTTTGACCGGCACGCGCGGCGCGGCGCGGCGCTCGGCCACCTCGGGACCACTTTCGCTGTCGTCTGTCCGTCCGCCTGTCCGTCCGTCCGCGGGGGTGGCCTTCGAGAATCCGAGACAGACCTCGATGAGCAAGACGACGCCTTTGCAGCGAGCGCAGGCAGCGCAGGTGACAAAGAGGTGCGACAGAGAGGGAGACACGGGGAGATAGAGAGAGGGAGAGGAGAGGAAGAAGAGGAGGGAAACGACGTGGAAACGGGTCAGTGGGTGAACACGGCCGGGGGGAGTTTTGTTTGACAACAGCGTGTCGCTGCCGGCGAACTGCTGAGTGTGTACTTTCGCATCATCAGTAGCCCTGCGCGGCGTGGCGCGGCGTGGTGTGGTGGCGGTGGAGAGGCGGCTTGAATCGGTACGCGGTGCGACTGCAGCGTGCAGGGATGTCGTGGCGTGGCGGGCGTGGCCCAGCGGAGTGGACAAACACAACACGGCGAGCGCGGCGCGCTGGCCGGACCTAGGCGGACCCAGGCCGCCGCGGCGGAGGCGTGTGTTGTGTGTTTGGCGCCGGCAACCGGAGCTGCGGCGCGCCGCGACACAACACCGGCACGTCCGCCAAATTCTTGCAGCGTTCACGAAAAGGGAGGCGCCCAAATAGTGTAGTGACTCACGCACCACGCGGCGCCGCCGAGGCGAAAGGGGTGGGCAGAGTCCGCCGTGCTGCCGCCAGGGGAAGACCATGCAGCCCGAGGCAACCGGAGGCAGGAAGAGCAAAAAAAGGTGACCCTAACGGGATTTGAACCGGCGGCCGGGCCGGGCGGCGCGAAAACGTAATTAGATCGGCAAACAAGAAATTAGGTGCTTCACAACACGGAGGCGGCCGACGCGCCCGACACCGGCACGCGCGGGATGGCCGAGATCCCCGGCAATAACGCGATCCTAATTGATATACGTGGACGGCATGGTGCTTGGCCGCTTGGCCCGCGCACCGATTAAATGACGCTTAGGGAGCAAATTGAAAGATACGGAGCCCTTACCATATGCACCGCCAGCACCGCCAGGGCCGCCGGCCGGAAATTAAAAACTTGCGCCTCTTCGCCGGGGCCAGGAAAGAGAGGAGCCTTTTGCGCCCCAAAGGAAAATGGACGATGAAGAAAAATTGAAAAATTAGACAGTCAAGCGGAGGGAGGTCATGGTTTCATCGCCCTCGACGCGCCTCGACGTCGTCGGCCTTCCTGGCGGTTGGTTCTCTCGGAGCAGGGGGGAGGGGCGGGGGCTACAACTGGAGCCTTGCAGACTGATTCTGAGGGTCGCTCTGCCTCTATCGCGCCTGTGCGGGACGCCCCGTGAGTGCGAGAGAGACAGAGCGACTCTCGGAATGAGTGTGCTGGCTTGCCGTGCCGGTGTGCATCAACTTCGCCATCGAGCCTCGTGTTTGTGTTGCTCAAGTAGCATTCAAACTCATATGGCAAGCGAATGAGTACGGTCCGGGCGGGGCGGGGCGGCTCGGCAGGGCTCTCCATGAAGGCGCGCCCAACTCGGCGGCCGCTGCGTCGCCGTGCTAGTTGGGAACGCACGTGAGCCCGGCACTCCGACGGGCCTGCCGTCGCTGTCGTCGCTCTGTCTCTCTCGCAGCCATGGGGCGTGCCGTGCGGGCCGTGCGGGTGGGAGAGAGACAGAGTGGGGTCGGCCCGGATCGGCCGGGCTGGCGGTGTGGCGGCAGGCCAGGGCCAGGCCCCGCGCGCAGCGGCTGGCCACTCAGCGCGCGCGCACGATGGGCTGCCTACGCTGCAGGCGCTCATCCAGTGTGGGTCGCAGCTTTCCAAGTCACGTCACAGCTTTTGACTTAAAGTCAAGTCACGGCTTTTGAGACCAGGTCGCGGGCGTGGAATAAATTGCAAATATTCCACGGACAGTAACAAACGGTCCGAATTTCGAAATTCAGTGGTGCACGACGGTCGTTTGGGGAGCGCCTCCACTCGGTTGCTTTTTGCCGTCCGTCCGGCCAGGACTCACTCCCTTCGCTGCGTCCTCCGCCTCGTCCTAGGACAAGCGTCATTTCCTTCAGACTGCACAAGGACGCCACAGGCTGGCAGGGGGCGGCAGCGGGGGCGGCCGGGCTTGGCGCCAGAACTGGGGCGTGAAAATGTGAGCTGCTGACATTTCATAAATGCCGGACGAGCTGCGGAGGAACCGCCGGCGCGCCGCCGAGGGAGCGCGGTGTGAATCCGAGCATCCCTGCCAGCCTCGCCAGCCTCGCCAGCCCCCTCCCTTCCCGGTCACCCGAATAACTTCGTTTCCGGTTCCGGCCCGCCCGGGTTCGGCCGTGCCTGTCCCTGCCCAAGTGGTGCCCGTCCGCCCTCCAGGTGGCGCCTGATTCGCGCTCGTTAGCGACGTTCCGCTCGTCTGGGCCGCGCCGCTTGATTCCGAAGGTTCGCCTGCCTCTCGCCGTGAGTGCGAGAGAGACGGAACGACTTTCTCGGAATCGGTCTGCTGCGCCGCGGAGCTAGGCCGCACAGCGCGCGGCAGCGCTACGCTTGCTACGCTTGCTACGCTCCATCGGAGCGGCCGCCAGGGCAGATCACATCGAACAAAAGGAGGCGCAGGCGTTTGCATGCCTGGATCCGGGAGAGGGACAGGGAGGGCACGCTGCCATTAGAATCGACGAGGCGGCCGCAGGGCCAGTCCGGCGAACATCTGCAAAGCTCGCACTTTTCATCCCCAACGTGGTTAGCCCCCGCCCACCTATTGTCTGCGCACCAGCAGTGGCCTCTGCGTTGGGTCCACTGGCCGCCGCACTTGCCCTGGCTGAGCGCGCCGAGCGGCACGCGTGGACAATGAATGCCGTTTCTAGCCCACGGTGGCCAGGCGGGGCCAGGCCGAGCGTTAGCGTGGCGGCATCGCCCTCCCCAACAAGTAAATCTCTTCCCGGGGCGGAGCGGCACTGCGCCGGCAATCGGATTCCTGGCGGCTTTAAATCGGCACCGCCGACAAGCAGGCCGCCAATGAGGCGGTTCGGCGCGCCGCGCAAAAATCCGCCAATAATAGGCGATTAGTCGTGCCCCGGGCACGGCGCCAGCTTGGGCGCCAGCCTGGACCCTGGACGCGCCGCCGCCACGCCGCCAAGGACGACGACCTCGGCGCCCTCGCCCCCGCCGGAAGGACGGGGAGGCCGCCAACGACGCCGTCAGTGCCGGCTGGCCGTTTGCGGCCTCGTTCGCCGGCCGCCTGCGCCTGCACCGCCTCGGGGGGCATCACCACGATCAACGTCGCCGTAGTTTTACATTGTGTAGTCGGGGCCCAGCGCGCCGTGCCACGGTTAAGCAGTCAGCCAGCCAGCTCGCCGGTCAGCCAGGCAGGCAGCCTGGCTTTTGTTAGGGCTCACTGCCCCCCGCCCCCCGGCCGGCCTCCGGGCCACGGCCCGCAATCAAGAACTTGGAGCCCCCGCCCCTGCTTCCTCGTGGCTGACGACTAGAAAACGCCGAAAAGCAGAGCGCCGAGCCAGCAGCGTGGGCTGGCGGCATGACCCTGCAGACTGCACCGAAAACAAATCCAGTGGGCCGCCTCGCCTCCCCGCGCCCTGCGCACCACATACGCGCACTGCCGTGCCGCCGTGGGGCTGAAGAGCACTGAAAAGTTGAGCCAAACACTGGGGCAGAAACAACCGAGAAAACGGGCAGTTTTGAATCATACAAAGAGAAGAACAAGACGTGCGCACTGCGCAACCTGTTCTAGCTGTCTGCATGGTGAGCGTGCTACATGCTGCCAGACTAAATAGTGGACTGCGAATACCGAGGGCAAAACAAAACACGGCCCCGCGTCGGCAAAACAGTGTGCAGACTGTCCGTTGTGTCCACTGGTTCGCGTCCCGCGCGTTCCGCACCGCTTCGTTCTGTTGTAATCGTTAAATATTTGTATTTAATTTTTGTGTTGTGATAGTGACTGTTGCCGAATCGTCTGTTGGTTCGAAACTTTTCGTTTGTCAACACCTGAATGCTCAACAGACTGCGTGTGTGTTTGAAAGTCATACAAGTTTATCAACACACATCACCTGCGTCTAGAGCCGTAGTACTGTTCAATTACTTTAAATGTTGGTTCCCAGAAAAAGCAATGGCCCTGTATTCAAATTTCTTCTAAGCGGGTGCTGCAGTACCTAAGGTTAGTATAATTTACAGAATCAAATGGATGTGAACAAATGGGGGCTATGAAATACAAACAAGAAACCTACTCATATGAAAGCGACGTAGTTTGGCAAGTTTTTAGTTTCACCAATGTGCTGGTGTGTGGCTTCACCACCCAGGCTTTATGTAAGCTAGCAAGGCCGCTGTTGTAGTGAGTGGTGTCTATCGATGTTAATTATACAGGCGAAATCACCGGGTTTTATTCAAATTGTCTTGTAATAATTAGCGTACAGTTGTGATGTTGATGGAAAATTTCAAAAATAAGCAGGTGGCTGGTGTCATATTCATAATAATATGACTGCTCAACCAAGCCTGTGATGTTACTTCAATTGTGACCAATTACGTTCAATTGATTAAAAAGGATTTCCCATTTGAAGGAACGTGACAACGCTACGCTCCTGAAATAGCAGCATACTTGATACTAGGTTACAATTCCAAGCTTGCAAGCACACCCTTTGAAGTGCTGAGAAGATGCCATGTTTATGATCATCTCAGAAGTGTCTCGCATTTGTGAGTGTGTACCTAGTCAAAATTTAGTTTTGTTATTGTTCCTTCTGGAGAAACGGGCTCCAATAAAAAGTGTCTGGAGGTGGTGCGACCGAGCAGGGAGAACGGCGCCATGAATTATGGCCTCTCTTTGGCTTGAAACACTGTGCAAGCCCCTCGCCACGCCGAAGGTGCGGTGCCATGGGCGGGGTGGGGCGGGGCGGGGCGGGGCGGGGCGGCCAGGTGAAAAGGCGGCCGCCACCCTCAATTACCGCCTTGACAGAAATACAGGAATAACGATCACGCTGAGGCGGCGGGGCGGGGAATGATGTTGGACCGCACACGCGTCCCCGACGTCCCCGTCTTCCCCGTCGTCGTCGCCGAGGCCGAGACCCTCTCCATCCCGACGGAGCGAAAAATAATTTTCGGGGCTCGCCGTGCCGTGCGGCGCGTGATCGCGGCGGCGCTGTTGTGTTTTCCTCCAGCGTGCGGCCGGCTGGAGCCACGCTGGAGCCACGCTGGAGCTGGAGACGTGAGGGCGCCACCCTAGCGTCCCGAGCGGTGGTGACCAGCAGAGGCCGTTCCACCGCTCTGTCTCTCTCGCACCCGTGCGGGACGCCCCATGAGTGCGACAGAGACAGAGCGACGAAAACGACGCTTCGGAGTCAGTTTGGTGGCGGTGCCCTGGCGGTGCCCTGGCGGTGCCCTGAGCCCGCCGGCGCCGGGCCCCGCTGGGCCCCACTCCCCACGCCCTCTGGGAGCTAAACGCCAATTCCCCGCAGGCGATGGATTTACCTCGCCATGGCGTGCGGCACGGGGCGGGGCGTGCCTTGCATTAAAAGTGCCGCCAATGATTGCCGGCCGAGCGAGCCTGGCCGCCTGGCCCAGGCCAACCCGGCCAAGAGGCCGGGCCGCCCTAGCCCGTAATGGTAATGGCAATACGGCGGGTAGGCAGCCGGCCGGCCTGGCGCGCGGCTGTGCGGCGGGACGGCGCTCCGCTCCGCTCCGCGCTGCGCACCCCACTGCATTGTCCGTCCACGCCGTGAATGCTTGCCGCTGCAGTCGGAATTTTCGGTGCCGCTGTTTGAAAAAACAAACAAGCAAAAAACAAGCAGCGCGCAAACAAACATGGCAGCGCAATCGGCACCGCTTTGGAGGCCCCGTTCCGCTCGCCATTCACACGGCGGTCGGCAAAACGAGGACTCCTCGACTCCACGCGCTGTCTCTCTCGCACTCACGGGGAGTCCCGTGCGGCATCGGCCGAAGCGGCAGCCGAAGCGGCAGCCCACTGGAAGCATTTTTGGCGCGCGGGCCGCGGGGTCGTCGCCGCGTCGCCGTTGCCGTCGCACGGTTAGTCTCGGTCCTGAAAGATTCAGGACCGGAACGGGTCCTCGAGTAACCAGGACACCTGTTTCCAGGACGGGGGTGGCGCAATTCGACCAGTTTGCCGTTTGGTCCTGGAAACGGGTGGCATTGGCGCCTCGCGTCACCAAGATCCAGGACGGTTCGGAATGTTTGGCGCTCTCGGTCCTGGAAACGAGTCTTCTGGGCTCCAAGACGTCGAAAAGAGACCAGATCGGACCAGAAAGCTTGCGCGCCGCACCCAGGTCGGCCACAGACCTGGTTCTGGTTTGCTGCGCCCCTGGCAGGTCACGGCTGACAGTCGCCCTGCGGTCCAGGTCGGCCGTCAGTCCTGGATCTGGTTTCTGCGCACCTGGTTGGTGTGGCGCCGCCAGTGTCAGTTCCATCCAGGTCGGCCGTCAGTTCTGGCTCTGGTTCGCAGCGCGCGCGCCTGGAAAGCAGACCACCCACGCGTGCCGCTACGCAGCTGCGCGAGGTGGGTTGCCTACCATGCCCCTTCCTCCACCCCTTTTGCACCACTCCCCTTAGTGAACTGCGCCAATGAAAGGATGCGTTAATCATTTCCCAAGTCGCACGATCCCCAAAATCGAGGTCTCGGATTTCGACCAAACTCGGTAAATTCTTTCCTTAAGTGCCCAAGAATACCCAAAAATTGTCAGAAAAAATATTCATTGGGTTTGATTATTTGCTTCAAAGACACCTAAAAAAAATCTCAAAATAGTTGTAATTGAGTGAAAATTTTCCAAAAATGTCCCAAAACTCCTAGCATATCTTTGCATTAAATGCCATCTAATTCTACTAAGAAACAGGGATGATACCCAAACCGAAACGATACCAGGGCCGTTACGACAAAAGTTTGCACACATGGCTGAAACTCAAAAAGTGTTGCACCTGGAACCAAGGGAAGAGCTTCTCCTTGTTGATCAAGGCGTACCGGAGTTTTGTTCCCATATGGGCCAAGTCCAAATTCCGCTTCCCTGAGTTTTGTTCTTTTTGGGGCCTAAATCAACAAAACTCAGGGAAGCGGAATTTGGACTTGACTCATATGGGAACAAAACTCCGGTGTGCCTTGATCAACAAGGAAAAGCTCTTCCCTTGGTTCCAGGTGCTACACTTTTTGAGTTTCAGTCATATGTGCAAACTGTTGTCGTAACGGCCCTGGTATCGTTTCGGTTTGGGTATCATCCCTGCTAAGAAATGGTTAAGAAGTCCAGAAACTTGAATTTCCGGAAAATAGGAGTGACATACTTTTAGCATTTACTTGATTCAGTGTAGCTCAGCCACAGTGTAAAGTAAACAAACAGGTTCTTAACCATTTCTTAGTAAAAGTAGATGACATAGTGCAAGGAGTTGCGCAGCTGCGTAGCGGCACGCGTGGGTGGTCTGCTTTCCAGGCGCGCGCGCTGCGAACGAGCCAGAACTGACGGCCGACCTGGATGGAACTGACACTGGCGGCGCCACACCAACCAGGTGCGCAGAAACCAGATCCAGGACTGACGGCCGACCTGGACCGCAGGGCGACTGTCAGCCGTGACCTGCCAGGGGCGCAGCAAACCAGAACCAGGTCTGTGGCCGACCTGGGTGCGGCGCGCAAGCTTTCTGGTCCGATCTGGTCTCTTTTCGACGTCTTGGAGCCCAGAAGACTCGTTTCCAGGACCGAGAGCGCCAAACATTCCGAACCGTCCTGGATCTTGGTGACGCGAGGCGCCAATGCCACCCGTTTCCAGGACCAAACGGCAAACTGGTCGAATTGCGCCACCCCCGTCCTGGAAACAGGTGTCCTGGTTACTCGAGGACCCGTTCCGGTCCTGAATCTTTCAGGACCGAGACTAACCGTGCGCCGAGTCGAGTGCGAATGAGGCGGGGCACCGCGGGGCACTCGGTGTGAGTGTACGAGGAAAATCGGCTGCGCTCCCCTCCTCCCCCTTCCGCTGATTTACATTTTTCCGCTGCACTGTAAAAACAAAAATTGACATTTAATCAATTTTTTTTGGTCAGTGGAGCCGCGCGGTTATGCGGTTGGCTGCCGGCTGGGTCTCGCCGCGCCCGCCGCGTCGCCTTCGACGGCCACCTCGCCAAATGGCGCGTGAAACTCCCGGACGACAAAAGGAGGAAAAGGTAAAGGGTGAAGGCGGGAAAGGGGGCGACCGGGGGAAAGACAAACTAACGAAATGTCTGTCTTTGGACCGAAACCAAGAACCGCGAGCCGAGCCGCCAGTGGCCCGCCAGTGGCCCGCCAGTTAGGCCGCATCAAAAATCACCGATTTTTGCGAATTGACATTTTTCTGAAAGATCATGTTCAGAAACGACCCTCCACCAAATTTGAGCGCGTTCCGACAACGGGAACCCGAGGCGCACAGGGCCTAAAGATTTGCGGTCCGCGGGTTGCCTACCTCTAGCTGCTTCTTCTCGGCGCCGCGGCTCTCTGCTGGTGCACTCAAGGAACGCAACACAGCGTTGGGGCTGTCCTTTGGGGTCAGTACTACACATTCAATACGTTTTGAGCACCGTCGGGTGCGACCCCGCGAGTACACCGCGAGAAAACCGCGAAAGGTTTACTCTACTTTCTACGCATTTGAAGCGTTCGCGACGGGCGAAATCGCTGGTGGAGCAGCAAACCATATCGGCCAAGGACACACAAAGTTTGAGCAGAATGCGCCACCTGCATCACCGTCAAAATGAGGGGAATAGTGGCCCCCGGGAAGCTAGGCCAGGGTTGGCCATAAAAAAAGTCCCGAATTTGCAAATCGACCTTTTCGCCTATTTCTAGTAACCATGCTTAAAACGACCCTTCCCCGAATTTGAGCGCATTCCGATAACGGGGAAAAACCGAGTTCCATGGGCGAAAATTGATTGTGCGCGGGTGGCCTACCTCCGGACCGAGCGCAACACTATTCCCTCTTTTGACGGTGATGCAGGTGGCGCATTCTGCTCAAACTTTGTGTGCCCTTGGCCGATATGGTTGTGCTGCCCACCAGCGTTTTCCCCCGCCGCGAAGGTTCAAATGCGTAGAAAGTAGGAAAAACCGGTTTCGCGGTTTTCTCGCGGGTACTCGCGGGGTCGCACCCGACGGTGCTAAAAAAGTATTGAATGTGTAGTACTCCCCCAAAAGGACACCCCCAACGCGTG